CGCCCCGACAATTTGATTCCGGGTCGCGACGCGCACCACCTCCCCCCCTCTCCCCCCCCGTCCCTAGCGCCCCAGTTGGACCCTCGCCCCGCGGCCCTCTGCCCCAAGCCCCGCCCAGTGCCCCCTCCGCCCCGACAAATTTATTCCACGTCGCGACGCACACCACCTCCCCCCCTTCCTCTCGCCCCCCCCGCCCCAGGGACCTCCGCCCCGTGCCCCTCCGCTCCGAGCACTTTATTCCGCGTCGCGACGCACACCACCTCCCCCCCCTTCCCAACCTGGGATTTGGGCCCCGTTGCTGGGCCTCGAGGGGCGATGTCTTGCCCCCTCTTCCCCCTCTCCTCCTCCACCCCCTCCTCCCCCTTCCTTTTTGTGCAAGAGCCGTGGCAAACGTGCCACTTGTTTTTTTCGTCCAAAGTCCGCCTGTAGGGGGACATGCCTGACCTAGCCCGAGGGAGGGGGCCCGCCTCGGAGTGCTGCGGCGGGTGCTCAGGGGTTTCGACTCCTCCGATTCGATTCGATTCGATTCGATGTCGATGGCTTCCGGTTCTGCTTCGATTCGGCTCGGGATGCCGATTTGGGTATGGAAGGCCTATTAGCTTGCCGATTTCCGCCGATTCGATTTTTTCCGACTCGGCTGCCGATTTCCGCCAAGTCGTCTCCGCCTTGGAGTACCGCGGCGGGTGCTCAGGGAACAAGGGGGGGTTTTGGGTGGATCCACGCCAGTCGTTGAAAGTAGGTATTTCTGGATTCCCAGATTCAGATGCCGTTCTACTTTAGGCGCCCTCCTACTTCAATGATTGAGTGGCTTCACCTTTTCCGTCCTCCTCAGGGGGCGGACGGACTCCCAATCTGCTTCCAACGCCTTCCTACTTCATGTTTCTTCCTACTTCTTCCGACCGATGTGTAAGTGGCCCAGGGATGGCCTAGAGTGGTAGCCCATGGCAAGCCTGCTTGCCTTCAGGGTGCACTGGGTTTCCTGGGCTTCGATGGCTGTGCTGTGGAGCGCGTGGCGTTCCCACACCAGAAATCAATGGAGGTCGTGGGCGTCAGGGTTGGGTTTCTGGTGGACTGTTTCTTGCGGTCGAGCATCAACTGTATCCTAGCTTCTGAGTGGATCAGTAGTGCCCTGAGTGGCTGAGAGGGGGCGAGGATCGTGGCTAAGTGGGCCCGCGCACTCAGCGATGCCACCCAAACCATATTTAGGGCATGTGCAACCCGCCTAGGAGTAAGGTAGGCTGGGCCAGACATAACCCACCTCAACAACCACTCGTCACCCCCTGTCCACCTAGCGCCGCCCCACCGGGGCCCTGAGGATGGGAGGGGGACTTCTGGCCGAGCCTTCACTGTTGGAGAGTTCGAGCCCACTGGTCCTCAGGATCCCACCTGTCAAGGCCCATCTCGATCCGATCCATCCGATCCGATGTCGAGTCTGGCTTAAGTCGGGCATGTCCCTCTACAGGAGGAATATCTAAAACCAGTAAAAACGATAGTCTGGGGACGATTGTTTGATTTTTGTTTGGCTATTTGGGGGTATTTTGTTGACAATGCTTAATTTTTCGTCCATAATCCGCCTGTAGGGGGACATGCCCGACCTAAAAACTGGCTCGTCCGACACGATTCGATTCTGACGTTCTGGGCGCGCCGATGCAGGCAGCGGTCCGACCCGATCTGCTGCTGGCCGACCCTGCGCTCCAATCGACGGCCAGCGAGGGGCGGCAAGTGAAGAGGGGCGGGCCTGCCCTCTCAGAGGGCTCGGAAGCCCCCCAGCCCCTCCTCAGAAGTTTGCTGAGCCTTCCCCGGCGGCGTCAAGAACCTCTCAGAAGGCCGGAGGACTTCTGAGAAGCCCCGCCGCCTTTGCGAAGGCCTTCTCTCGCTCGCCGCCGATCGGAGGCCATCGTCCAAAGAGGAGGGGGCGGGTCCCTGACAGGATCCCGCCGCCAGTGCCCACGAACTCGCCCCTTCGGGCCCCTATTGGGGCCACTCTCGGGGCGGTCTCGGGCGCCCTCGGGGCCGCCTTGGGCCCCCTGGTGGGCCCCCCTCGGGGCCCATCCTTCTCGTGTTCCCCCCCTCGCTCGCCGCCGGCTCCGAGCCCCATCCTTGCACCGCCGTGCGTCGCCGCCTGGCGCCGCGTCACCGTGCGCCGTGCCGTTGTGCGGCGCGTGCCGCCGCGCCGCTGCGCGCCGCGGCGCCGCGTCGCTGCGCGCCGTGCCGCCGCGTGGCTGCGCGCTGTGTCGCTGCTGCTCGGCGCGTCGCTGCGCGCCGCGCCCGGCGGCGGGCGGGGCTGGCTGGCGCCGGCCGCGAGGCCCCCGGGAGGAGGAGGAGGCGGAGGAGGAGGAGGAGGAGGAGGAGGTGGAGGAGGAGGAGGAGGCGGAGGAGGCGGAGGAGAAGAGGAAGGAGGAGGCGGAGGAGTAGGAGGGAGGAGGAGGCGGAGGAGGCGGAGGAGGAGGAGGAGGAGGAGGAGGAGGAGGAGGTGAGGAGGGGGGGAGGAGGCGGGGGAGGATGAGGAGGCGGAGGAGGAGAAGGAGGAGGAGGAGGAGGAGGAGGAGCATCAGGAGGAGGAGGAGGAGGAGGAGGAGGAGGAGGAGGAGGAGGAGGAGGAGGACGCTCAGATGACCAGTGGTCAGTTTCAAAAAGGGGGACTGCGGCCGTCGGCGGGCCGCCTCACGCCTGACGGGAAAAGGAATGCGAGGCACTCTGGATTCCCCCGACCTGGAGGCAGGAGAAAAACTGGTTGATTACGAACTCCACGTAACCGAACACGAACGATCCTGGAGCACCTTGGCCACGAACTGGTCCCGCAGCTTGTCCGTGCTCTCCCAACCGCATTCGAGCACCATCTGCATGGCCGTCTCCACCAAGGCGAGTTCGTCCTCCGTCAGGGTCTTCTCCAGGCTGAGAGCTTTCTCCAGCTTCGCATCGGGCTCCATCGGGAGGCGGTCGAAGAGCTCCTGCTCGCTCGTCGTGTTGAGGCCCACGAAGACCTTCTCCGTGCAGAGCTCCACCTCCACGTGCCCGAGGGTCATGTCGTCGCCCACGTCTCTGTCCTTGACGGCCCCCGTCGAGACAGCGATGGCCTGCTCCGACAGCTCGTCCGCCGTGTCCGAGGTCCCGACCTTCTCCGACGAGTCGGTCGACGACGCTGAACCAGCCCCGCGGCGGCCTCTCTTGCGCGGGCCGCGGGCCCTGCGCTTGGCCTCCTGCGGTGAGTCAGGCGCTGCATCAGCGCCTTTTCCGAAGTCGTTGTGCAAGGCCCAGTTGCAGTAGGCCTTGCACGCCCCCGATGCTCGGGGCTCGGAGCCCTCGAGCCCAGCCGCCACCTGGATACGGAGGTGCGGGCGTGCCAACGCCTCGCGCACCGCGACCTTCTTGACCACGGCGGTCTCCAGCGGCGCCTCGAGCAGGGTCACGCCCGTGCGGATTGCCGCCGCCACCGCCGCCGCCGCCACGAGGTGGCGTCTTCCGCCGCCCTCGGCGGCTCCAGCGACAGCCGCGCGAACCAGCGGTGCCAGAGCCTCCATGCGGGAGCGGCCGTCGACCGTCGCCATGCCAGGCCCAGGTGTCGCGCGAACGGGACGCGCGCCGACCCAGCCCCGCGGCCAGCTTGAGCCAAAATGGCTACGGAGGAGGAGGAGGAGGAGGAGGAGGAGGAGGAGGAGGGCATCAGGAGGAGGAGAGGAGGAGGAGGAGGAGGAGGAGGAGGAGGAGGAGGAGGAGGAGGAGGAGGAGGAGGCGGAGGCGGAGGAGAGGAGGGAGGAGGAGGAGGAGGAGGAGGCGGAGGAGGAGGAGGAGGAGGCGGACGAGGGGACGATGATGAATGCCCCCCCTCTGGCCTCGCCTCCCCAGGCCCGTCGCGCGGGCCGCGGACGGCCCAGGCGCGCTCGCGGCGCGCCGCGCGGCCAGCGCCACGCGCCGCGGTGGCCTCGGGCGCGCGGGCTGCGGCGAGGGGCGGCGGCGCGCGCGGCGCGCGGCGCGCGCGGCGCGCGGGCGCCCCGCGCCCGCGGCGGGCTGCGGCTCCGAGGCTCGAAGATCGAAACACGGCATAAGCATGGTGTCGGGCACGTCCCTCTACAGGGGGAATCCTCAACCAGATAGTCCCAACATAGTCTGTGGACGATGTGTACGATTCTTTTTTGATATTTGATGTTTTTTTTTGTTCAGCTCTTTTTCATCTGTCCATCAACATCCGACTCTAGGATGACATGCCCGACCTCACATCAACGCAAGATTTTGACGGTCTTCGCGGATTTATTGGATCGGCGTTGGGCCTCTTTGGCGGCGCCTCCGGTGTCGCCCCAGGTGCGCTCCGCGCGCCAGGGAACGTGGGTCCAGCGCAGATCCAAGAGCTCCGCGCAGACTGTCGAAAGTTTTGTTTTTGCCGTTTGCTATGTCAAGGGAAAAAAAACCACGCCGACCCCGAGAAGTGGCGTTTGCTAATGAGCAAACGCCACTCCACTTCTCGGGGTAGTTTCAACGGCCCTGAGCGTTTACTACACGGCCCTGCCCTGTTCGGTCCCTTCCTTGGGGGCGTTTACTACACGGCTTAGCGCGTCGGGGTTCTTACTGCGAGCGTGGATCTTCTGCTCATTCCCTGAGATCCGACGTTGCAGCAAGCATTGCAACCTCGCAAAACAAACCGACACTGGAGCCCCGGATCCCATCTCTCTGCGTCCTTTTTCGAGCCGCATCGACTTGTGAGGGCCCCAGGGCCCGAAACGGAGCGGAAACGCCCGTTGTGAACAGATTGCAGCGCCAGGATCTCAGGGCATTTACTCAAGGGAGGGAAAACCGGTCCTGGAAACAGCCCTGCCCTGCTCGATTCCTTCTGTGGGCGCGTTCACTGAAGGCCTCGCGTGTTGGGGTGGTTATTCTCGGGGTGGCTTTTCTGTCCCCTATTTATTCCTCTGGAGGAGGAGCCCGCCGGCAGCGAGGCGCTGAGCTTCTTCGTCGTGGGCGACATCGGGCACGCTGGCCCCGCGCGGGAGCGCGTCGCGGAGGCCATGGCGAGGCTGCACGCCGCGGCCCCGCGGGCGCTCGTGCTGTGTACCGGCGACAGCTTCTACGGCCGGCCCGGGGAGGGCGGCGCGGACTTCCTGATGGGCCCGTTGTCCACCACCACCACCATGAGCTGGAGGGGGGAATGAGGAGGAGGAGGAGGAGGAGGAGGAGGAGGAGGAGGAGGAGGAGGAGGAGGAGGAGGAGGAGGAGGAGGAGGAGGAGGAGGAGGAGGAGGAGGAGGAGGTGGAGGACCCCCTCTCCCTCCTACTTGTGGTGGTGGCGGTGGAACACAAGCCCACCACTTCCGCTGTCTGGAGCGGGAGATGCTGCGCAGGGTGCCTCTGCCGTGGTACTCGGTATCGTTGAACCCAGACCCCCTCCGATCATGAAAAAAACACGACGGGAGGGGTTTCGCTATTTTCGGCCTCTGGGGGCCCTCACCAGGCCTCGGGGCCGTCAAATGAGAAGCCGGTCCTGGGGAATGGGTCCAGACCTCAGGGGGCCGCGTCATGAGAAACCAATGACGTCGGGGGTCTGGGAACCTACCTCGAAGAAGTAAGAACGGCATACAGATGAGTTTTTGGCGCTCCGCGCGGGTTCCTTGGATCCGCGCCGGGGTACCCCCAGCGGCGCCTCTGGCGCCGCCCCCGTCGCGCTTCGCGCGCCAGGGAGGGGGGTCTGACGCGGATCCAAGAAATCCGCGCGGAGCGCCACCAGTTCATGTTTGTGTAATTGTTTCTATTTCTATTATCACCTTCCCCGCCAGGCCGTTGTATCTCAGCCCCACCGTCCCACCCCCCAGTTGTGGACGGGCCCCTCGAAGCCCGCAGGGAGCAGCCTAGGGTATCCTCATCCAGGGGGGCAAGCTGGCTGGCGGGGCCGCGGCCACGCCAGCCAAGACACCCTGGCGCTCCAGTGCTTTCGGTGCGTGCCCCCCCTGGAGGTCTGGACAACCTCCCCAGGGCCACCTTTTCCTACAGAGCAATGGGGAGAAACACACACAGACACAATTAATCGTCGATTCTCAGGAAAATATGGAAACATATGGGGAGTGGGGGGGAAGACAAAAACCAAGAAAATATGTGGAAATATATGGAATCCGGTTATTTGTGTGTATTTATTTGTGTGTCCCAGGGCCCCTTCAAATTTGCCGACGTCCCCGGCTCGTTGAGGGCCTCGGTGAGGGCCCCCGGAGGCCGAAAGTGACAAGCGAAAGCGGCCGCTCTCCTTTTTCTGGGCATCGGACCCAGACCCCCGACGCCACGATTTTTTCATGACGTGACCCCCAGAGCTCTGGACTCCTTCCCCGGGACTGGTTTTCCATTCTGAGTCCTTGTTTGACGGCCCCGCGGCCAGGTAAGGGCCCCCGGAGGGTAGGCCGACCATAGCGAAAACCTTCCCGTTGTGTTTTTTTTCACAACGCGAGGGGGTCTGGGGATCATTGTAATTGTAAGTGGGGATGGGGATCGGTTCAGCGATGCTCAGGTACTCCGCCGTGGGCAACCACGACGTCGGCGGTGCCCGCGGGGCGCCCAGCCTGCGGATGCACGGCGCGTGCGGCGAGGCGGCGGCGCCGCCCGGGGCGCGCGGCGGCGCGGCGGGCGCGCGCGCGCGGTGGCGCTGGCGGTGCCCGGGCATGGGGCCGTACAGCGTGAGCGAGGACTGGCGATCCGAGGAGTAAATCGGAGGAGGAGGAGGTACAGTGGAGACCCATGCCAAGAACACCCTGCTTGCCTGCAGGGTGCCCTGGGTGTCTTGGGATTTGCGATGGGAAGCGCGACGTTCCCGCACGAAAAATCAATGGACGTCCTGGGGTCTCAGGGTTGGGTTTCTTGTGGAAAGTTTCTTGTGGTCGGGCCCCTGCTGTACTTCTACCCCATCCCTCGTTTTCCCTTTTTTGGGCCTCCTGGGAGGCCTTCGTCGCCACAGCTGGATTCGCCTGGAAATCCTGGTCAGAACGCAACCCCGAACAGGTACTGACACGTATCACCCCGCAGTTGCGGATGAGGTCGTGCGGGTGGTAATTAATGCAGGCCCTGCAGGGCCCTTTTGGGGCCCCTGTTGGCCACCAGCTGGTTCCAAACATTGTCCTGAAGGGCACCTTTAGGGCCTGTCTCTTCAGCCCCCACATGGGGTCACCCCCCACTAGCACTCGTCCGAAGAGAGTGAGGGGGCGGGTGTGGGTTGGGTCGCGGGGTGGGTCGCAGGGTGGGTGGGTCGCGGGTGGGTCGCGGGCGAGGACGATGTCAACGCAAGACCATCACAACAAGCAGACTCCGCCCGACGGAACGCCACATCTGCCGCGCACCCAGGGACAATGAATGACCGTTCGGCCCCCGCATTCTGACGGCTACTCTTCCGTCGTTTTCGCTGTCTGGCCCTTTTGTCGGCCCTCGTCGCCACGGCTGGCTTCGCCTCGAATTGCTCGTCAGAGCGCGCCACAGGAGAGGTCCGAGGAGTAGCGGTATCGGCCCCTTTTGGTTTTCTTAGGCGAGCCGCTGGCTTTGACCTGGCGCCGCTGCCGGCGGGGCTGGTGGACCTTCTCGTGTTGAACACCAACAAATTCCAGATTGGAGCCAGCTTGGGGGTTGAGGTGGCCCAGCATTGGATCTGGCGTGCAGAAAGGGGGGAGAAGGGCTCCCTCGTCGCCACGTCTGGGCGCGGCTCGAGACCTATGCAGTTTCCATCGCTGGATGGGTTCGGGGACCGATTTTAAGCGAATTTGCTTTTATCCCCCTTGACAGATTCAATTAGTTTGCGCCGTTCCGCCGACCCTTCAAAAACAGTGATTTCGTCAAGAGTCGTGCCACTGTGCCTGACCCTTGGGATCCTGTGGGTCAGGAGCCTCGGGGATGCCTCCCGGGGGCCTCTTGGATGGCTCCTGGGGGCATCTGACTCTTGGGGCCATCGCGGCGGGAAAGTCTCGAGATGTCAGTTCGTATTTGCCCTCTTGGGGCCCAGGAGGGGCCGATGGGGCCGTCTAAGGGCCTTTTGGGCTCTCTTTGGGCTCTGTTCGGCCTCGGGGCCTCATGGGCCGTCTTGGGACGATCTTGGAGGTTTCTTGGGCCGTAATGGATGCCGTCAAGACGAAAACTGCGTATGTGTCGAAACTGAACGTTTCTCATAGGGAATGTGACGATGTTTGCAGGGACCCTCTCGGCGGCCCTCTGGGAGCACTCCTGGGCCGTCCTGGGGGCCTCGTAGGCCGTCTTGAAGCCATCTTGGACTGTCGTGTGGTTACCCTGGGCCGTGTCGACGCTCTCTTGCAAGTCTCGGTGCTCATTGAGCCAGATTCGATGGCATCAATGGGCATACTGAAGGCCACGGAGTGCAGATTTGGAGGCTCTGGATGCCCCGCGGGCGCGCTCGGGAGCTCGTCCCCTCCACATCTAACGCGATTTGGGGACAGGCCAAAGTCAGGAGGGAAAAAACACACACAGATACAAATTAACTGTCCATTCCCCGGAAAATATGGGGAAATATAGGCAGTGGGGGGGATGACAAGAACCCAGAAAATATGGAACAATATGGGGAATCCTGCTATTTGTGTGTATTTGTTTGTGTGTCCTTGGGCCCCTTGACAGAGGGTATGTGGGACAGCCTCTGCAACCCTGGCAAGCGGGGGTCGGCGGATTTTCTCTGGTCTTAACCAGCTCAGACCCGTCGGCGGCCTCCAAGTTCCAGATGCGGCTGCAGGACGGGGAGTTCGACTGGGACGCGCAGAAGCGCTGGCTGCGCGACGCTCTGCGGCAGAGCGAGTGTACGTGGAAGCTCGTCGTCGGGCACCACCCGGTGGAGTTTGTGCCCCACAGCCTGCTGGAGCACGCGGTGCCCGGCCTGCGCTGGCTGACGGCGACGTTCATGACGGGGAAGCCTCTCCTGAAGAAGCTGTTTTCCAGCTCCGTCGCGGACGTGATCATCACCGAGGGGGCGGACGCGTACCTCTGCGGCCACCAGCACCTGATGGCCCACCTCGTCCGGCGCGTGCTGCCGAGGCGGCTGGCCCTGCGGCGGCACCCGGGCGCCAGGCCCGGCTGCAGCTACGTCATCGTCGGCAGCTCCTCGAAGACGGAGCGGGGCGACGGGTGGCTCGGCGCCGTGTCTGCGCTCGTGCGGCGGAAGCTGGAGGACACGCGCCGGAAGATGCGCGAGCTCTGGTGGAGCGAGCGGATCTCGGAGGAGGAAAAAAGGTGCCGATGCCGCCACCCCTGCCTCGCTTTCGCCCCGTTGGGCCTCCTGTGGGAGGCCCTCGTCGGACGCCGCGCCAGGATTCGCCGCGGACTGCTCGTCAGAATGCTCTCTTGGGCAGGTCTGGGGAGCAGCGGTATCGGTGCACTTGTGTCCCCCCAAGGATCGGCTTCTGCTCCGTTCAGGCGTGCCCGCGGCGGCTGCGCTTCGAGTTTTTCTCAGTGAACCAGGCCGGGGAGGCCTCCAGCGTCTACGAGTACAGCATCAACCGCAGCGCTTCTGGCTGACGACGTTTCTCGGAGCCGTGCTCCAGCGAGCGGATCGACTTCTGCTCCGTTCAGGCGTCTTCGCAGCGGCTGCGGTTCGAGTTCTTCCTCGGTGCCTGCCGCTGGACGCCGTGGAGATCAGAGGAGGAACGAGTACCGATACCCCGGCTCTTCCCTCGTGGCCACGGCTGGATTGCCTTGAACTCCTGGTCAGAACGCACCCCGTGAGAGGTCTGGGGAGTAGCGGTATCCGCACGTCTCTGCCCCCCCAGGAGAGGCCTCCAGCGTCTACGAGTACTGTATCAACCGCAGCGCCTTTGGCTGACGACTGTGCTGCTCGGAGGCGCGATTTTCGAATACGTTCGAAGACGACAAAAGCTTCGTACGGATCAACGTGCGGAGTTCCGCGCAGACTTCTTGGATCTGCGCTTGGCCCCCGGACCCGCTTGCCGGGCAGGCCGGGAGCCCGAGGCGCATTCCTCCTAGGCGATCGTGGCATTGGCGGTGCTCAGGTATATGGTGACCACACGACGTATACGAGGAGCATGCCCGTGACCGCCTTTACATGCAGAGGCGGCGCGTGCGACGCGACGAAGGCAGCCATCCGGGCCACCCGCCGCGGACCTCGCGCTGCCTTTCTCGCCCGCCGTCGCCCGCTGCGGCGCCTCGCTGCGGCGCGGCGAGGCCGGGGTGGCAGCGGCGGCCGGGGCTGGACCAGTCGGACGACGCGGTCGAGCGGTGGCGAAGCGTCCCGGCTCGCCTATAGGCCCACCAAATAACGTTCTAAGAACCGTGTGTGGTCTGCACGACATGTTCCCACAACATGTCGGGCCGAGCCTTAGTCTTGTTTTAGCGCATCGGGTTCTTGTGTGCCAAGAGCAGGGAGCTTGCTCTCAGAACATGTTTGGGTTCTGCGAGGGCTTCGTGGTAGGCCTGCAGGACTGCTGGGACGGTCAGTCCCTGCTCAGCGCGGGCGGGCTATGCGGCGGGGCGACCGGCGCAGGAGCTGCTGGACGCCGCGAGGCTCGGCCCCTCTCCGCAGCCATCCCCGGGGGCGGGCGGCGTGCTCTCCTCACTCGGGGCGCCGTGCCCCGAGAGTGCGGCCTCCCCGTGGGGGCCTCCGTCGGGCCCCCGGGGGCCCATCGCAGAAGTGGATCCCGGCGGGGCTCTGCATTTGTGCTTTATCCCCCCTTCCTCCCGCGGGCCCTCTCGGCTCCCCCCCCCATCCCCGTCCCCCCCTCCTCCCCGTCTCCTGTTCCCCTCGTATCTCCGTCGTTCCCCCGTCCGCCCCTCCTCTTCCCCCCCCCCCCCCGCCCCCCCTTCCCTCCCATCTGCTCTAGGATTGCTCCGTGTGAACACTACTCTCCCCTCTCCCCCGAAGCCGTGCCGAGAGTGGGTGGTGCGCCCTGGTGCGTTGTTTTGTTTGTTCTCTCCCTCTCTCTCTCTCTCTTTTTTTGTGGTTGTTATATATATATATACACAAAATACGCAGCATGGGTCCGAGTCGATTTTCCTAATGTGATATTTTGCAATCCGGACGTTCCCGGTCCTTCCAAAGTGGTGTTCCCGCTGCAGCGTGTGCCTCATTTTATAATCGAGACTCTGCTCGCGTCGTTCAGCCAGGCGCTCCCAGCGCGTCCCACTCTTCCGGATCCGAGGCCTTCCTCGTCGTTGTCGTCCCCCTCTTTGCCCCTCCTCCGCCTTTCCCTGGTCCTCCTGCTCCTCCCGCTCCTTTCGCTGCAGTTCCTGCTGCTGCTGCTCTTTGTCCTCGTCCTCCCTTCTCGTCCTCCTTCTCCTCCTGTTCATCCTCCCGCGCATCCGCCGCCTCCTCCTCTCATCCGCTCCCCTGCTTCCCAATGCGCATAACACGACGGTGTGGAGTTCCAGTCTCACTATTATTCGCGTCGGCGGACAGGTACCAAATCAGCGTATCGGAAGAAATGGGAGGGAGGGGTAGAATGTCAAATCTGGCGCGAACGCACCTATGGTCCCCTTCTCTTTACACATGCACATTATGAATACTTCTCACCTCTCTCCCCTGACTCTGTTCTGAAGATGTTCGTCCCCCTCGACGCACTGTTTTACACATGGATTTCACACATTGATTTTATGGTGCTCCGCTGTGGCGTTGATATCATTTACGGATCGGCGTTTTGCTCCCGTCGTTCAGAGTGGCGCTCTCGCCCAATTGCAGGTCACTTCTCTGGCCCCGAGTCCTTCATCGTTGTCGCCCCCCTCCTTTCCCCTCCTCCGCCTTCCCATGGTCCTCCTCCTCCCGCTCTTTCTCTTCAAACTCCTGCTGCTGCGAGTCGTCCTCGTCCTCCCCCATCCTCTTCCTCCTCCTTTTCTTCCTGCTCATCCTCCAGCTCCTGCGCCACCCCCTCCTTCGAGGTACGCAGCCTCCTCTTCTCCGCCTGCGCACCACGCGATAAGGGGTCCTCCCTGTGCTTTCTCAGGTCCGCCTGCGACACGCGTCGACGGACAAAGGCACGGCCGTGCAGTGGGAAGGAATGGGGTGGGAGGGGCAGGATGTCAGTTCGGCAGCACATCACGGGAGCTTTGCATACCCTTTTAGTTCTGTCTCTGGCGTTCAGTCGGGCCTGTCCCTCTACAGGAGGAATATTCAAGAATAGGCAAACCATCGAATGGGGACGATGTTTTGACAATCTTTGAGCGTATTAGGAATATGTTGTGAGTATTTTATACCTTTCGCCCAACATCCCCCTGTAGGGGGACAGGCCCGACCTAACTCTAGCGTCGATGAGCGTCGATCAGCGTTTGAGAGTCGATGAGATAGCGCCCATTTAGCGTGGTTAGCGTCGATATTAGCGTCGATTTGGCGTCGATTAGCGTCGATTTAGTGTCGACTAGCGTCGACTCGCAGGTGCCGACAAAATGGTACGGGAGGCTCCCATGAGTTGCCATCGAAACGTCAGGTATGGCGCGAGCGCTTGCCCCTCCCCCCCTGTTTTCTTCCCCCTCAGCCGCCCCCTTCCTCCGCCTCACACCGCCCCTCCTCCCCCACCCCATCTTCAGCCCTTCCCCCCCTTCTCATGCCCCCCCCTCGCCCAAGGGTGCCAAGACCTGAACCGTTCAGCTCCAGAGGCTTTCTCGTAGCGTACCTGCAGGTCGTACCGCCAAGACGCTGGAATCAGGACCACTTAGGGCTCGGGAGCGGCCCTGGTTGCCTGGCCTCCTCTCAGATCTATGCCAGGGAACTCACGTGGCCGAGGCCGTCGCCGTGGCCAGAAAAGCCCCGTCCGCTCCCCACTGGGCACTCGTTTTTTATGGCACACGGTGGCTGCAACGGTGACGGCAGGCCACGTCCGCCCTTGACGATGTCGTGAAACAAGGCGACCTCGCCGAAGACCATGGCCGGAGCCCTGTGGACCCCATCTTCCTGCGGCATCTCTCGAGCCGAGTCGATTAGTGATGGGTCCCAGGGCCCGAAGCCAGGCGAACACGCCCGGTGTGAAAGAACGCGGCGGCGAGCCCGGGGCGGGGCGGGGGAGGTGAGAAGGGACGGGTCTTCTCCGGCTGCTCGGAAGTCCCCCCTTGCCTCCTCCGGAGAGGCAGAAGAACTTCCTCAGAAGGCCCTCTGGGCTTCCGAGGAGCCCGCCTCCCCCCTCGCTCGCCGCCCACAGCACGCAACGCGTGGATCCCCAGGGCCGCCGCCTCCCCCCCCCGCCCGCCCGCCTCCCGCCCCCATCCCAGGGGGCGGCGCTGGCCGCCCGCGGGCCGCCCGGAGCGCGCCGCGCGCGGCGCGCGTGTCGCGCGTGGATCACTGGGAGCGTTCCACTGCTCGCAGAGTGCCTACCCTCGGTGGCCACAGGGTGAGCCCTGCCCCCAGCTCCGACGATTTCTGGGGGAGGGTGGGGGTTCACACTTCGCTCGGGAGCCTACGCTTAACGATTCTAACATCCCTACAGGGCGGGGGCTACCAAAAACAAAAGAAGTAGCGTTTAAGAAGGGATAACGTATGTTTAAGCAAACAAGTGTAAATATGGCTTATGATAACTTAAAAATAACAGGGGGGGTGACTATTCCATGGTGATATCTTAAAAATGACCAGGGGGCCCGCGCACATGTGGCCAAGTGTGTTAGGTGTGCCAGGTGTGCCACGTGTACCTCCAGGATGTAGGTGTGAGCGTTTGTCCGTGCCTCCACATCATCTCTCGGGCTTTCGTCATCCCAATTCGTCCTCGTCCGTCCTCCTTCCCCTTCTCCTTTGCCCTTTTTGCCCCCCCCGTCCCTTCCCTCCGACCCCGCTCTCGGGGCCCCCGCTGGACTTCCTGCCGCCGCTCGCCGCCAGCCCGCGGCAGCCGTTTGGCTTTCAGGGCTTTCGGGCCCCAGGGGGCGGCGGCGCCGCCGCCCGCCCCCCTCGCGGCCGAGGACCGTGAGGAGGGGAAACGCGGGTGGAGGGCGGAGGAACGGACATGTCGGGCGGGCCGGCGGGGTAGGACGAGGAAGGCATGGCGCGGGGGGGCGGTGGGCCTGCTCCCCGTCGTTGGGGCCTGCTCCCCGTCGTTTCGGGGCCTGCTCCTCGTCGTTTCGGGGCCCGAGCGGCGACGTCCCCGTGGAGGTCGTCGTCGTCCTCCGTCGTCGGCGCTCCTCCCCCCCCACCCTCCTCCTCCTCATCCTCCTCCTCCGCGTTCCTCCTGCTCCCCCCCCTCCCCCCCCTCTCCCTCCGCCCCCTCGTTGGCCCCTGCTGCGCGGCCCTCACCGCAGCGCGGCGGGAACGCGGGGGGGGGAGTTGCGTGATGAGAGGGGTCTCAGCCGCTAAAGACCCCTCCATCACCCCACTCCTCCCTCCGTAGGGGTGCATGGAGGTTCGGAGGAGGAGGAGGAGTTGGTGAAACAGATGATGTGTTTTTTTTCGGGCTGCCCTTAGGACGTCATGGCTGCCGACGGCGGCGGCTGGGGCGACCTGTCGCAGCTCGCGGCCCCGCTGCTGCGCCGTCGGCCGCGGGCGGCCGCGTGGGGGGACCTCGCGTCCTTGGTCGCGCCAGCCGTGGCAGCGGGCCCTGCGGCCGCGGCCGTGGGCCCAGCGGCCGCGGGCGAGGCTGCGCCGCCGCCCAGGCGCAGGGGCAGGCCCCGCAATGAGCCCCTGCCATTGGTGGCGCTGGACCCGCAGGCCCAGCAGCTGCAGGTGGACCTGGACCCGCAGGCCCAGCATCTGCAGCTCGACCCCCTGCGCGCCCAGGCGGTCGTGGCCCGCGGCGACAGTGGCCTCATGACGATACTGCCGCACAGGTTCGGTGGCTTCATGTCGGTGACGTCTTTGGTTGAGAACTTGGATGCCGCTCGGCGCTTGAGCCAACTATGTGATGAGGCTTCCATGGACATGAGCATGGTGACAGTTGCAGCATCTCTCTTGTCCTCCGCCAGCCAGCATCGTTTACAATCGAATGCCGTGCGGAACCAGCGTTGGGGCTTGGACCAGTGTAAGGCATCGCGCTGCGTCAGGGTGCTGGGCGCGTCGACGGTAGTGAACGACATGCTCACGCAGACGGCGCTTGAGCGCGCGATCGTGCTCAGCGTGCCTCAGCGCTGCCTGCACCAGTACGCGGAGATCGCATGCTATGACTCAGCTGATTTCGAAGCAACTCTGAATGGCAAGGCGTCCATCCTCGGCTACAGAGTTGCAGTGGACGACGTGGACTCCAGGCGTGACGTGAACAATGCGGCCATAGCGCTGCCGAGGAGGGTGCAGGTCGCCATCCAAGCTCCATCGTTCACTGGCGTTTGCAAGACGATGCAGACGAGGCTCAAGTACAGCATGCTGGCGACGATGGCGGACGGCGAGCTCACGATCATTTGCTACTCTAAGGCCCCCTGCCTTGGCTTGCTGGAGAGGGGGACTGGCGAGGCAGTGGCGCTCTCGCAGATCAGAGCGTCTGGGGCGAGCGTTTTTTTCGGACAGGTTCTTGGCCAAAACACGGTATGCGATGACGGATGGCGAGTCTACGAACGAGAAGGCAGAGCGGATCATAGGCCAACAACGGGGGTGGGCTCGCCACAGGGAGTGTTGCGGGAGCCACTTGATCGCGACAGGGTACAAGAAGACAATGGCGCTGTTGGAACCGAGCTTGCGGGGCATGTTGAATCACCAGCTCAGCTTCCAGATGACAGGGGATATGATGTGCTGGCAGAAGTGCATATACG